ATTTATATAGTGCCAAAAACCAAACCATCGCAGCAAAACAATACAACAATGCTGTGTCTTGAGTTCTGGTCCAGTTAACGCCGTTGCCGTGCAAGGTCCCTGCTGTGATGTGACATCCCTGCGCTCAGCCAGGAAGCAGCGGGCCCCAAGTTCTGCGGTGCATCCGTGAGGCCATCGGCCAGCATGGCTGGGATTCGTAGACGCTGCCCCATACATACCTCAGAGTTGCCTGAGAAGGTCGAAACCCCTCAGCCGTCTTTTTCCTCTTCCTCTTCCACTTCCTACTCGTGCTGAGTTGTGGTGCCTCTTGGTCATTCTTCTCCCAAGGGCCTCCCACTCCCTTTCCTCTCCTGAACGTCCCAGACCAATCTCTTTTTCTCTTCCCACCCCCCATCCCCATTTCCTCTTGATTCTGTCCTGTTTGGCCTATTTGTTTCAGCTTCTTAAATCTCGCTTCCCTGGACACATCCCCTGCTTGTTTGTTCTATTCCAGGTCTTTTTTTTCTTTTTGTTTTTTGGGTCATGCCCAGCAATGCACATGGGGTTACTCCTGGTTCATGCACTCAGGAATTACTCCTGGCGGTGCTCAGGGGACCCTATGGGAGGCTGGGAATCAAACCCAGGTCGGCCACGTGCAAGACAAACGCCCTACCTGCTGTGCTATCACTCCAGCTCCTCCAGGTCATTTTTTAGTCACCACGTTTCTGCTACAATATCAGTTTCCCTTTTTGATACTCAAAATCGGTGTCCCTTTTTTTAACTATCATTTTTATACCTTTTCTTATACCGTTGGCATCATATTTTCCTATTGCTTCAGCTATCTTTTAGAAAATGAAACATGCATATTTCACCAGGGATTTTTTTCCACCCTGGGAAGGGTTTGGAATCCAGCGAGTCACGTCCATAGGCACTGCCCAGCATCTGACCTCGAACAAGATGACAAGACAGGAAACTGTGCTATCCCCACGTCAGGCCTTCGGGGTTAAAGAACTCTGGCTTAGATCTACAAGAGTTTTCTATCCGAATCCCAAAGAAACACACCCGAGTGAGTGCCTGCCAGAACCAACCTGCTGTCTGTCCTCTCCAATTTGAGCTGTTTTAGTAAATGATGGTGCAAAGTGAGCAGTTTGGGCATTTATAAATAGAGCATTATCCTGGTCTTTTGTTCCCTCCAAGCGCCAAGGTTTCCCCAAACATCCCCCTTCCCCTTCTCTAAAATCTCCTCTTCTGCCTGTATGTGACCCCAGCTAAGGAGGTCGGTCCCCTTTCCACTCCACCCCCCGGCCTGTCCCGCCTGGGACAGAGAGAACAGAGCAGAGCATCTCCCTTTAACAGCCTTTGAAGGTTTCTCTTCCTCATGTCAGTGTGTGGGAATGAGCCCAGCACCGCCCGCAAGCAGGACACATGCTCCCCGGTGAGCAGCATCCCTGGCCTGAGTGTTCCATCCTTAGCAAAGCACAGAGACTCTCCTAAGAGCTTGGGCCTTCGATCCCATCTGGATTCCAAGTCTCACGCACCTTTATCCAAAGTACCTAAGAACCTGTCGGCGTTAACTGAACCAGAACTCAATACACAGCATTAAGGAGATAACAGGTGTTACAGCAATTTCAATATTTTTGCAAATACACATCACTGTTTCGGTTGTTTGGGGGCCACACCTGTTGCCCCAGGCTTGGTGCTCAGGGCTCACCCCAGAGGATGCTGCAGGGACCCTGTGTGGTGCTCCGGATCAAACTTTGGCCTCAGGCAAGGCAGGTGGTTCTGCTCTGTTTGCTCTTCCTCTCATGTTTTGTTTTTAATAAGAGAACCAATTCTAGTCATCATGTTTCCACCCAGCCCCACCTCAGATAGATTTTCAGAATTATTTTCACAAATTTGTGGTGAAGAAAAAATTGTGAAATTTTATTTAATCCCATAAAAGTTATTTTGAACTTTGACTTTTGGTGTGTTGTCAAGACTTTTATCTTCATGTAGATTTTTTTAAAAAATGGAGAGAATGTACTACGCCCAAAAAGAAAGAGTAGAGAATTTGTAATGTGACAGATTAGCCAAGAGATGTTCAAGGGAAGCAGATGGGAATCATGTATCCACCAAGGACGGTGCATTATTACTTTGTGTGTGAGTCCTCGAATATTTATGGAAACATGTTCATTGTGTGCAAAAGTGAAGACATTGTTTGGAGTTGAGAAATAATACAGCAGGTAGGGCACTTGCCTTGCATGCGGCTGGCCCAGGGTCTATCCCTAACCACATATGGCCCCTGAATCCTCAAAGGAGAGATCCCTGAGAAACAGGAGTCAGCCCTCAGCACTACTGGGTGTGGCCAAAACAATAAATAAAATAAAAAACATTTTTGAAACAACCCAAGTTCTAAAAAAGAAAGGCCCTCCCATTGATCATCGATTTGCTCAAGCGGGCCCAGTAACATCTCCATTGGAGACTTTGTTGTTACTGTGTCTGGCATATGGAATACTCTCGGTAGCTTGCCGGGCTCTCCGAGAGGGGCGGAGGAATCGAACTCGGGTCAGCCATGTTGGCTGCGTGCAAGGCAGACGCCCTACCGTTGTGCTATCGCTCCAAGTTCTAATAAGTGTGAATTTTTAATTTTATATTGCACTTAATATCTTGATGGTACGTCTTTATTCCCTTTAGCAAAAATTCTAACACCACTTGTGAAGCCTCTTTCTTATCCCAGACTCATATAGATCCATAATTTTCTCACAGTCCCAAAGCTCTTGAACCCATTCTTCTACACAGAACGTTTAACACATGGAGAGTTTAAGCAATGGGTTTTTTTTTAGTGAGTTTTTCCAGATGGTGCTTTCTGAGAGCTAATTGAGAGGCATTAGAGATATAACTTTAGAATGTTTGATATAGAAGGATATAGAGAAAAAGATAAAGCTATCTAGAAAGAGAAAGCTTGAAGATTTCTACCCATTAGTTCAATAGACTGAGATGGTATTTTTATTTATTTGATTTTAGAAGACTTTCTGTTTGGTTCAGGGGCCAGAGCTGGCCGTGCTGAGAGAGTGATCCTGGCCCTGCATGCAAAGGTCACTCCAGGTGGGCCCAGGGGACGCCATGGATGCTGAAGATTGGAGGCAGTCACCCGTCCTGCCCACTGGACTATTTCTCCAGCCCTGAAATGGTGTTTTTCGATTTGCAAGTCTTTGTTGTGGACCTGGGAGGAAAGGAGAGGCATTATTTTATATCAAAATCACCAAATAAAATTATTGAAAGGAGCTGAACTGAGCATATATAAAATATATGTCACCGCTGAGATTTTTAATGCTGTTTCAATTATATATGTGTGAATTATTAAACTGATATTTGAACTTTTAAAATATTTAAAATCACAAGCTGGTTTCGAACGCTTTCATGCCCACCTTTAATAGCTTTTAAAATTCTGCCTTATCTACGATACCCACTCTAACTATGTGTGTCAGATAGTTGGTTATTTTAGCAGAGTTAGTGTATTTTAGTAGACATGACTAGTCTTCAAAGTTAAAGGAATCATACGGAACTATTTTTAGACTCACACACTGAGCTATTTAGATCACATACTGAGCTATTTTATGTTTGAGTATTTATATATTGAGCTATTTCTAGACTCTACCCAGCCATTACTCTTTCTACTGATTTATACCCAAGAACTTGTGTCCAGGGAGGGGAAGTTGAATCACTCAGCAGAGCCTGGGGGGTATGAGGCCTTGCATTTGATATCTAACATGAGGTATTCCTTCCTATCCATTACTGAGAAAATAACAAGCCAATAAATTATAGTCCCTTTTTCTGAACTGCAACTTTTCTGCCTCTCAATTCAAAGTGGAAACAGGATTTTGAGTTCTTGATCAAAAGATGTTATTATCACTTCCATAGCATATATGGTGAGGAAAATGGAAATTACATGTGCAAAGAACCCATAATAATCCTACGAATGGGGTTCTTTTGATAAAAAGGTGACCCATTATAGTGAATATCAAAAAATATGATGGAGCACTTGAGAGATAATAAGGGGTTAATTCTTGCCTTGCATGCTGCAGACCCTGATTTCATTCCCAGCGTCAGTGATGCTCTTCTAAGCATTGCCACAGGTGATCCGTGAGCACAGATCCAAGAGTCAACCCTGAGTACTGCTAGATCTGGCCCCAACACTAAGCAAAAAGAAAAAGAAAAATTCCTCCACCCCTCTCGAAGAGCCCGGCAAGCTGCAGAGAGTATCTCGCCTGCACGGCAAAGCCTGGCAAGCTACCCGTGACGTTTTCAATATGCCAAACACAGTAACAACAAGTCTCACGATGGAGACGTTACTGGGCCCGCTCAAGCAAAGAAATATTAAGGAAATAAAGGAAATGCAGTGAATTGTCTTTACTTATTGTTAAAATGAGGATCTCTAGCCTGATTAAAACTTAGGGCTGGGAAGATATTACAGCTGGTACACTGCAAGCTTCTCCATGGCTGCGACAGCCTTAGAGCCCTGGTCTCCAAACCAGGAGTCATCCCTGAGCACAGATCCAGGGGTAAGCCCTGAGAACTGCCTGGTGCGTGCCCCCTAAGCAAGATTCCCCCCAAAAGTGAGGCACAGATGTATGTATATCACCTACACAAATTTCTTTAATCTTTGTTATCTGTGGTAGACACATTCTTATGTATTTCGAAAAAGGTGTGTAAGATATAGAATCAAACAATGCTAAACTGAGATCTCCATGTGAGAAGTCTTCTTGGCTTGCTAAAAAATAGACACCACAGCTCACGGGTACACCTCTCGGGGACCCCCAGCTTTGCATCTGTGGCACCATGGCCCCCAGTGCTTGGGGAGGAAAAGACACAGTGAATAGCCTTTGGGTTTCTCATGTCCATCAGACAGTTCAGGATCACCCAGATTATGAAGCGGGACTAATGACATTTGTTTTAAAATGCATAAAGTCAAAGTACTAAGCGTTTTGTGAATGATCACAGACTACATTTTTGTCATGTGTTTTACAATCTGTGATTTGCAGATTTACGGAAGACGTTTGAGCAAGAGCCCCTGGGCAAGGAAGTGTCCCTGGAACAGGAAGTCTTGCTGCAGTGCCGGCCCCCGGAAGGGATCCCAGTGGCTGAAGTAAGTAGCACACCCTCCTTTGCATTAATGGGCACTTAGGGATTCCAGCCAGGCGTCCTCCCTGCTAATGGCGCGGGGAGCTAGGGCAGAGCATGATGAATGGTGTGTAATGGAGTCCCGACTCCCTGCTGCGGGACAAAGAGATTGATTGGGAACTGATTAATGACTTAGGAGTCAATTAGGATGCCCCACTGGACAGAGCCACAGGCTGCTTGGTTTAATTCTGTCACTCTCTGAAGACTCAGCAATGCTGCTTTATCTGACCTGATCATAGAGGAAGATGGTATGACTCAATACTGTCCATCACTTCCCGCTTGCTCTCGAGAATACGCATGACGTGCGACGGATGAGAGCTCGTGTGCTCTCCTGGGTCATCATCTGTCCCCGCATTCCACAGTGTCCGAGTCACAGACGTGCCCCAAACTTAGGGCCACGCACTTCGGAAAGAGGCATGTGCTTGAGGAATAACAACTATCTATTTGATTTATCCCCCTTTTTTTTCCTATCAGACTCATAGTTGTCGGAGTATCATACAACTCACTGATACAAAGACAACCGATTGTTACTGGGATGCGAATCAGATTCAAACTATGATTTTTATCAGCATCAAACAATACCGTGGTTTTGAGAATATCTCTCTGTGGGGAATAGTGCTCTGCTAACACACAAAAGTGCATGTCCTCCCCCAGAGGATAGAGAAGAAGGAGGGCATGGATCTAATACTTGGTCTTCCAAATTATGTCTTTCAAGTAATTTCTTGAAAATTACTTACGGAAAGTCTTAGACACGGTTACACCCCCTCCATCGCACTCTCTGTGCTCAGAACTGCTTTGCTTGGCCACTGACAAGCAAAACAGTCAATCGGGGTGATCAAACTTGTTAGCCTCTAAATAATATTAATCTTTAGGAAGAATTTTTACTCTTTATTGCACACATGGAAAAAAATTTTTTTCAGTTGTAACTCAGGACCAGCATTGGAGTCACTGGTATTTTGGTAATAATGTATCCTGAATTTTTGTATCCATGGAATTGCAAAATAATATCACTCAGTTTTACTTTAATGTATATACATGCATAATAGCTAAAACTGTATTTACTCTTGAACTTCTCGTAGTTTTCCAGTTTTTTTTTTTTAAGTTTTAGGCAGATGTGCGAATCAATCTAGGACATTTATGTTATGACAACAAAATCAGACCATTTATTTCTATTTTCAGTGTAGCAATAATGCTATTAAATAAGAGATATAATCATTAGGTATTTAGATAACATGTGTATGAAATGACTTAACTTTTCTGTCACAGACTTTCAAATATGCAAATCAGTGCAAAAATTCAGAGTCGTGGCACTCTAAATTAAATTTTATTTCTTTGGCAGAAGATAGCAAACGTTTGCCTTGCAGATGGGATCTTTCAGCACCTTCTCGTGTTGTAACAGGAATTTTGTGTTCCTGGAGCTGTTTTGCCCGACCCCAGTGCCGCGTTTTCCAACTCTGAGACTGACCTAGCCCTCCTAGGACAGAGGAAACGACTCCACTCAGTGTTCTAGTCGACGGCTACATTAGAGCATCTGCATCCTTAATTCCATTCCTAGAATTCTAATGCGGGTGTCCAGTACCCAAACACATCTCCGACAAAGGAGGTAGCAAGCCACTGGTTTTCACTGGAGCTTTTTAAAGATAAACCAATCCCTGCAAATATTGACGGTGAGGAGATCCCACTACATTTTCTTTTATTTTCACTTTGTCAAGGAATAACACTGTATGGTTGCAAACTATTTGGCTGTGAATTGTATTTGTATCATCACTTGGCAAGCTCAAAAGTCATATACCCACTTGAGATTCAAAACACAAAAATGTTTTATGCATTTTTGATGTCGGAAGAAGGTTCAGACACACACGCTCATGAGCAGACTAAGAAACTGCTCTGTAGATTCCATTTCGGCACCCTCTGAATTACCAAGATCAGAAAGCTAAGGAGTCTCTCCTTGGGCATTGCAGCTGCCTTTGGCCCAAGTGGGACAGATAAACTTTAGAGGAAGGATGAAAGGTAGTTTGACGAGTTACAGGGTTACAAGATTAATTTCGTGTCTAATCCATTCATTAGTTGATATTGCATATATTTGACGATTCTGGAAGCATACCATATATAGTAAAGTCAATAGTAAAATGAAAGGAAAGCTAGAGATGAGAGTTTTGTGTATTACACATTAGAACATATCCTGATGGGGTGGTGATAATCACACACACAGATCTGTAAAGCCGAATCAGTGGAATTCCATAGCATTGCAAACCAATAATAAGTCAAGGAAATTAAAAAGATAGCCGGCATACCTGACGATTCGTACTTCTTTTGTGTCTAAGGTAAATGGAAATGAAAAATGCTCGATGAAACGATGATTGATTCATTAAATTGGTTTTTGTTTTATGTCTAATGCATTAAAAAGAATTGCAGAATTTCAGGAGGAATTAACTTTCCCCCTTCTCATCCAACTCAGTAAGTTTCTAAAAAATACAAACCTACTAATTTTAGGTTAAAATGTCATTGCCTTTTTTTTTGGGGGGGGGTCACACCCGATGATGCACAGTGGTTACTCCTGGCTCTGCGCTCAGGAATTACCCCTGGCGGTGCTCAGGGGACCATATGGGATGCTGGGAATTGAACCCAGGTCAGCTGCGTGCAAGGCAAATGCCCTACCCGAAGTGCTATTGGTCCAGCCCCGAAATGTCATTGTCTTTGATGTGAATAATAACCCAAGTTTATCTGGGCTAACCAGTAACATTTAATTCCTCTCACCTATTTTGGCTACTACAGTCTCTGCTCTCATTTCTTAGGTTTAAACATGTGCTACCATTTTAAACAAACTTGCACTATTTTCTATACCTAGGTATGCTCAGTTGCCAAATGGTAACAATAATGGCACCATTTTAAAATACAGTGGTACAGAAGTGATGCATGCAAGTAATTTACAAGTAGAAATCCTTCAAGAAACATCAGCCATCATTAATATTATTATTATTATACTATTATCTATTACTTCATTAAAAAAAAAACTGAATTCAGTCCAGAGCAGTCCTGGGCCTGCTGGTTGGTGAAGAATGTTGAGATGAAATTTCTGCTCCTGAAGCCGGAAGTGTTTCGGTTACAGCTCTGATATAAGGAAGACGACAGGGTGGGATTCAGATAAGGAAACGTGGGCGAGAGCCACAGTAGAACAGGTCGGGCATTTGCCTGCATGCAACTGAACCAGGTTCGCTCCCCAGCACCCCCTCTGTCCCCAGGGCCCCACCAGAAGTGAACCCTGAACACCACATGTGCCCCATCAAAAAAATAAAAAATCGGGGCTGGAACAATAGCACAGCGAGTAGGGCATTGGCCTTGCACGCAGCCAACCTAGGTTCGATTCCCAGCATCCCATATGGTCCCCCAAGCACCGCCAGGAGTGATTTCTGAGTGCATGAACCAAGAGTAACTCTTGTGCATCACCGGGTGTGACCAAAAAAGCAAATAAATAAATAAATAAATAATCAAGGAATTCCCCTTGTTTCAGGGACCATTGATAAGAACTTATAAATGGAAGTGTCCGGAGCAAGTGTGAGGAGGGGCTGCCCGAGGCTTTATTCCCAGGCAGCGGCTACACCCAGCAGTGCTCAGGGCTCACTCCCGCTCTCTCCTCGGGTATCACTCCCGCCTGGGCTCAGGTTTACATGGAGTGCCAGGGTTCGAGCTTCATGAGACTGTATGTGAGTCCAGTGCTATGCTATCTGTCCAGCCCCTCAGTCTGATTCTATGAAAGTGACTTTTGTTTGTGTGACCTCCTGGGCCCTCCCAAACTGAGCCAGTTTCTTCCCAAAGTTTAAACTGGGGCTGAAGCTACTGCTTGTCACGTTCCTCTGAGAGCCCAAGGGGAGAGTGATAGACAGAAGCTGGGTAGGAGTGGGCCAGTCTGGGGCTCCCCTGCTCCTTTGCAAGGGTTGAGACTGGCTAAGCCCTGAGCTCAGAGTTCACAGGTTAAGCAAATAACAACTGCTGGGCATTAGAGGGGCGAAGCAAGGGGCTTCCTTCTAAGAAAGGCTGACCCCCCCCCCCCCCCGATCTTCCTCTCTGTGCAAGGCGAGTATTTTCGTCATTTCACAACTGCCAACTTCCTTGGCAGGGCAGGGAGGCTGGGGCTCCGTCAGCCTGTAGCTGATGAATCACGGGCTGGTCCGTGTACCAAGGTGCCAGTCAGCGTGAGGGTGATGCAGCACTCTGTCACGGAGCAGAAGCAGGACAATTTCAACTGTTTCAGGCAAATGGCTGGCATCCAACCCGTCTAGTCCATGAGGGCTGGGTGGTCCTGTAGCTGAGGCCTGTCTCTTACTCCTCCACCTGCCTGACTCCTCTAGGAGGAAATGAAGAGTAGAAGGACTTGACTCCCCAGGCTCTCTCTGCACTCCTTGTCAGGCTACGTAGGCAATTTGAAACATGAATTTGACAGAATCAGAAAAAAAAATAAGTTTCTGTTGCGTATGGCACAGAGGCAGCACCCCCAGAAATGTGGTGTCCTAGGGAAAGGAGGGGCACCTCTGAAGATGCAGTCCTGGAGAGAGAACTCAGTACTGATCAGGAAATCCATCAAGTGAGCCCCCCAAGCAGGACCCCCACCCACGAAGATGGAATAAAAGTCCGCTGGAAATTACCTTACTTCAAGGACTCCAGAGTGGATGAATAACAAGCACGTTGCAATTACAAGTAACCGAGATTATAGAAAGAAAAACCAATTCCAGAATTCTCTCCGGTTGCTCCTTGGTATTTCAAAGATCTCCCTTGCTATTATCAGTCCAGAAGTGGCGAGCATTTATTTCATTTCGGGGGAGACTTTTTCCTCCCTTTCCACAGACACATCTTCCTGTCTCCCCAAAGGAGACAGAAAATGAATCCACCCTTGAGCGGCGGCTGGGTGGCTTCTGTGCAACCATCACAGCTCTCTGTGAGACGAATCCCTGTCTGCTCATTTCAGTC